GGAAGCAATGTCCTTGAGGTTGGAGGAAGTTAGCAGGTCCTCGATAGGCGAGGGGTCACTCCAGACTCGTTCCTCAAGAAAAGAAAGTCTGTTCCTTGCTGCGGAGGCTGGGAATGTAGCTGAAAAAACACCAAGAAATTCATAAATACGGCGAAATATTAAGACTTGGCAAGGAAAACAGCCAGAACACTTGGTATGAAGGGAGGTTAAATATTCTATACCTAATTTCCCGAATTTGCGCGGAATGGGAAGCGCAATTGATTGGGACACGAACCATTTTCCTTTAACTACAACTATCATTTCTTTCCATTTCTTCTCGGATGAAGGAAGGTTCGTGCATATCCTTTGATGAAGGGGAGAGGTAAAAAAGAAGCGACCAGGCTCGGTTCCATGCTTAGATATATTGTAAGTAAGCAGAAGGTCGGCAAGGGTCAAATCCAGAGCCTCTAATTTCCGGCGCACCAACAACGCCGAAAGGATGCGAAAGAAATTGGGATTTACTTGAAGGGGGGCAAGACCTAGCTTATTGAAAACTAAATGATAGAAGGGATGAAGAGGGAATCGGAGGGCGTTAAGGTGCCCTACCGAAAGAAGCAACTCATCCTCCTCAATCCCCTCGCCGGAGGTGAAATCGGCACCCTCGGGATATTCTGCAATGTCTACTCCTTCAGGAACATCAAATTCTTCTATTACCGAAGCAATAGAGAATTTGATGCGGCGAATAGAGATGATTGTTTTCTTCTCTTCATGGGTAAGAACGTAATCGGAGCCTGAGGTGGATGTTTCGGTTGGAAGAGGGGAAGTACCTGATGGATTCAACGAAGGGCGATCTGTAGAAACCCTAGGAGGGGGAGCCCTAATGCGAATAGGGGAAGATGAAGGTGTGGATTCAGAATCCCCAAGGTCTACACGTTCGGGAGTAGATGAAGTACTCATAATGAAAGATTGAAGAGAAAGATGCGAAACTAACCTGACAAAGCGATGGAGCGATGGAATGAAGGACGCAGAAGTACGGCGAGGGCAAATGTAACTCTTGCAAAGTCTTGTGTGACGGATTAAGAATGAAAGACCACGAACCGTTTCTGAAGCAAAGTAAAAACCGGTTTCAATTCCCTCTTTAATAGGAGCCGTCACTCAATTAAAAATGGAATTTGGGGCAAAGTGTGGAGGGAAAAAACTCCCTCCAATAAGAAGCGCACACGTCACCACTACCCATATCTACATTCCAAGGACATATAAGGCCTATCATGCTCAAGCCCAAATTGAGGGTATTTACAGCCCAAGACCATTGTTAGTTATCCTCCAACTTCCATCAGGGCCGAATCAAGAAGTCATCAGCCCAGCTTGTCGTCAGCCCAGCGTATGAGTATTTAACATCCGGCCTGTTACCCAAGCCCAGCCGGATCAAAATATATTCAGCCCAAGAATGCGCAAATCCTACCATTTGAAGGATTTACTGTAGAAGGAAAATTTGGATAGGAAGTTCTGTACAAGGCAATTTCTATGTATGGAAGATTCAACAATGGAAAGAACTCTATTAGAAAAGAATGGTTATATAGAAAGAATTGGAGGGCAAGCAACGCGAGTCCTACCATAATTTTGCAATCTTTTGTATATAAATAGAGGCTAAGACCTCTAATAAAGGATGAAGCAATTCCACAATTCTCTATACATTGTTCTTATTTATTTTTATTGTTTTTGAGTGAGTTGTTTTATTTTTCTCAGTCATTATTGGTTGAGCGAAATTTTGCACCTACACACGTAATTATCGAAAAAATTATTTCTCTTGCAACTTGTGGCCTTTTCTCCACAATATTTTTTATTTTGTTCTGGGCTCCGTTTGTTTAGAAGTAAAATATTTTTCAAAAAATATATTTATTTTTTATTTTCTTATATTTGGTTATCGTAAAATATTTACAAAGAAAAAAAAAATTAAAATTTAACAAAAATAACATATTCATCAATTTTTGCCAAGTTATTTTACATGTCCAACCCTACGGACTCGTTCTCAACCTCAACGTAGATATTTGCTTTTACCTGAAAAAAATATATATTTTTCAAAAAAAAATATTTTGAAAAGTTTTATTTCAAAATATACTCAGAATCTGTGATTTAAAACATAAAGGAAATCATATTGTCTTCACCATAAATTATGAGTTGGTGAGAGGAATGAATACGCATACACACTCGTCTTTTATAAATTGCAAAATTATTATACACGACCTGATCTTAATCCTAATTAAAATACTATTATATTATTCGTGCAATTTCTTGCATGGAGAACTTACATTTTTATTACAATAAAAAGGAACCGACGCACCGTCACTTTTAATTAGTGAGATACCCAATATACCCTTTGTCAAATCCTTTTTGATAAACTAAATGAGTTGTACATCATATGATAATTGTTCCCTAACTGGTTTTAAAATGGTATATTAGTGAATAGTGATGTTCATTGATTTGGTTACAAAAAGTCTAAAAAACTGGGGCAGGTAGGTATGTTTGTAATCATACATTGGTGGGTAGTAGGAGAAGTGCATGCAAGCCATTTTCTTTTGCTTCGTTGAGGGACAAATAAGTCATAACAGATTGCATGGGCCTTTTTTTTTTTTTTTTTTTTTTCACTAAGTTAACAACCATATATTCCATTTTATGAAAGCGAAAGATTCTCCATTATCCTAATTGCTTATTAGATTTTTAGTATTTCTATTTGATTCTACTAATCTTTTCTATGGGATAGTTTTATTGTTTTAAATACGAGGCTTAAGTCTCACACTATCACATAGAAAATATAAGAAGAATCTTGTAGAAATTCTAAAACAATAATTTAGATTTGGTAATTTCCAAAATCATACCTTTAAAAGTTATGCAATTTAATTTTAAAGAGTTCACGCTTATAAATCACATTATTCTTATTTTTAAAGATTTGGGAGAGACAATTAATTAAAAAAGAATCATTTACAATAAGGAAACAAATCAAACTCTTTTCTCTCTCTCTCTTGATTAACACCCTCAACCAATCTACCTTTATAATGTTCATTTTTGAAAGATTTGATATTGTAAAGCGGCTTGATTTTGGATGGAATGTAATGTTCATTATTTATGCCCTTCTATTCTTGTTCCCTTTATCAGAAAGAGGCATCTTGTTTTAGCCTCTCTCTCTCCACTCTAATTGGTCGAGGGTGTTAATCATGAGAGATAAAGAGAGAAAGCGGAGATAAGTTAGAAAAAAAAAAAAACTTGATTTGTTTTCTTATTGGAAATGATTATTTCTTAATTAATTCTTTCTTTCAAATTCTAAAAAATAAGAATAGTGTGACTTATAAGCGCGAGACGAGAGCGCTTTGACAATAGCATTTACTCATTAATTTAAATCACACCTAGTGATTTGATTGTTTTTAGTATGGGGCTCAAGGCTCACATTGTCACATAAAAATTACAGGAAGAATGATATATAAATACTAATTCGGATTTGGTGACTTTAAAAATAATATCACCTGCTTATGCATCTTAATTTAAATCACACCAATCCGTTTGATCAAAGTTATGTAAGATTTAATTTACAAGTGTAAAGAACTAATTGTAACCCTTCTTGATCCTTTAGAGGGGAGGTGAGGGTGTATTTGCAAGTATTTGCTTGATAAAAAACAAAAACAAAACTACTACGTAATTCCTTAAAATAGAGGTATTAGTTTTAATGCAGAAATAAACAAATAAGTACCCAAAGGGCTATAATATATATATATATATATATAATTTGATATGAGTTGGGTTTTATACTTTTATGCAATGTATAAAATATATATATATATATATATATATATATATACATTGCATAAAAGTATAAAACCCAACTCATATCAAATTATATATATATATATATATGTATAGCCCTTTGGGTACTTATTTGTTTATTTCTGCATTAAAACTAATATATATATATAATTTGATATGAGTTGGGTTTTATACTTTTATGCAATGTATAGCCCTTTGGGTACTTATTTGTTTATTTCTGCATTAAAACTAATACCTCTATCAAATTATAATATATATATATATATATACTATTTTTTTTCTTATTGGTTACTGTATTAACTAGACCTAACCCCTTATTACCTTTTTGAGAAATCTCATAGTGGGAATCTAATTATCTCTCTCCAATTTCTCAAAGTGAAAGTGGACAATTTTGTTTGTGGAAAGAAAAAAAACAAAAAACAAAAAAAAATGTAAAATTTCAGATTAGCGTTGGAGTCATTTTCCCATTTTGCCACTATATTCATAGGGAACTATATGTGCTAGTGTGCCCTATACCCAACCCGTGACAAACATTATTAGTTGAACTTTCAAAGAGTGATCATCATCACTCGTTCATATTGATCATCATCACTCGTTCATATTGATTCTGATTACCAAAAAAGGGTACTAATACAGTAATACACGAGCCTTAAAGCACCGATACTGCCAAATGATACTTGGACAAAATTGTCATATAGTATTTCATAAGGAAACGTTTGGACACTACCAAAAAACAAGCATAAACGTATTGGCCAATAAAGTAGGAACCGACGACCGTCTTGGGATTGTGCAGAGAGAGAATCTTTGTGCATGTACAGAAAAAAAAACGCGTCTATATTACCTTTTCACAACAGCCAAACAGCTCTTTAATCTTATCCACTTTTTTAGCATAAAAATCATTTTTTCAATACACAATACACAATACACAAAAGTTGCAATAAACAAAGGTTACAAAGCTGAGTAGAAAATATATTTATAGAATGAAACTCCGTGTTAGTGTATATGTAAGGCCAAAGTATGCCCTATATTGATGCATACACATGAATATATAGGATCTATTTCCAAATTTATATCTATAAAATAAAATAAAATAAAATAAAATAAAGGAAAGGGTCCACTCATGTGGGTCCCACATGGACCACAATGGTTCCTGCCTTTTTCTTTCAGACCTTACATGCTTGTGTGTTTAAAATCAGCTATGAAGCCTCCCCTTTTCTCAAGTCCCCAACCCACCCCATTAAATATGCACACCCGCTAGCTACTACTATTTATCTACATTTCTATCTCCCATTTTCACTTTCTCGAGAAAAGAAAAGAAAATAAAAGATCAGTGACAAGAAAAACACAACACAGCTGTTTTTTTCTCTCTCTAAACGCAGTGTCTTTCCAAGTATAGAATAAAGTGCCAGGGTCAGAGAAATAGGAGAAAAAAGGCCATTGCTTTGTGAAGCCACAACAGAGGAGGTTGGTTTTTGGTCATGGGTTTGAAACTTGTAATGTATAAGGTGTTGGTGGTGGTGCTGGTGTTATTGTGTTCATGGGTTTCTGGTGGCACAGCCTCTGTTTCATATGACAGTAAGGCCATCATTGTTAATGGGCAAAGGAGGATCCTTATTTCTGGATCCATTCACTACCCAAGAAGCACTCCTGAGGTATATATTTGTCAATGTACTTCATGAGTCTCTCTGATTTCCCTCCTTTTTTTTTCTTTTTTTTTTTCACCATGTCAGTTTTATTGACGGTTTTCAGTAATGGGTCTCTTTCTCTTTCTCTCTCTAAGTTTTCTTTTGAGTGTAGTCTGTTCTTGAGTTCTTTTGTTGTTGTGGGGTTGTGGCAGATGTGGCCGGATCTTATTCAGAAGGCAAAGGAAGGAGGTTTGGATGTTATACAGACCTATGTTTTCTGGAATGGGCATGAACCTCAACCTGGCAAAGTAATATAAATTAACTCTAATTTTATTTATTTATTTGTGGGTGTTTTAATATTAATACTAATTAATTAAATTGTTTGAATTTATTTTTGTAGTACTATTTTGGGGGAAGGTATGACCTGGTTAAGTTTATAAGCCTGGTGAAGCAAGCAGGTCTATATGTTCATCTCAGGATTGGACCCTATGCTTGTGCTGAATGGAACTTTGGGTGAGTTGATTAATGTTAATTTTCTGTAAAGAGGAACCACTGGTTTGTATTTTATATTAAGTTTTGATTTTTATGAGCACTTTTTCTGTTTCATATCAGGGGTTTCCCTGTTTGGCTCAAATATGTTCCAGGTATCAGTTTCAGAACAGATAATGGCCCTTTTAAGGTAAGGCTCTTGCATATGAAGATTCATTCTCATCATCCTTATTTTCATTTTCTATTTCTGTTCCATTTATTTTATTTGATTGCAAATATTTACTCTGATTTTGTTGCTTGAAATGTTGTAATGAAGGCTGCAATGCAAAAATTTACCACAAAGATTGTGAATATGATGAAAGTGAACAAGTTGTACGAATCTCAGGGTGGTCCAATAATTCTATCACAGGTAGTTGAAAACTTGAAAGTATTCCATTTTTTACCCAATTAAGTTTTTGGTTGTAAATTGTTATCATTCAATAAAAGTAGTAAGCAAATTGAGAGAAGCATCTTTCTCTGTGATGTATGTGACAGATTGAGAATGAGTATGGACCCATGGAGTATGAACTTGGTGCTCCTGGTCGAGCTTATTCGAAATGGGCAGCTCAAATGGCTGTGGGTCTTCGCACCGGAGTCCCATGGGTCATGTGCAAGCAAGATGATGCCCCTGACCCCATTGTAAGTATCATAGCCTTTTTGTGAATTCTTTTGCCTTTTCTTTGTTATGTTCTTACACCAATTCTTGATTGTTTCCATGTTATGTTTCCTCATCCTTAAGTGGGGTTGCTATGTAACAGTGTGTTGTCCCCTGAGTGGTCAAGTATGGTTTTGAATAATTATCCCCCTGCACATGGCTAGGCTTTGCTCTGTCTCTCTCACTCTCATATGTTGTGTTTCTGTTTTTATTTAATTATCCACCGGCCTTTTGAATTCTGTAATGATGGACCAATGACCATGTCTACTTGTCATTATCATCACATCTGTTTCAATTTCCATTATAGTGGCGTGTCTAAAAAAATATTTACTTTATTTTCTTCAATTCTAGAAATACAAAAGAAGTCGATATTTAACTCAAATACTCATTCCTACAGGATCTCAATTATTTCCTTAACTTCTTCTTTGAATCTTAGGATCTTTTAGAATAGTTATAGTATATGACTATGCTTCCAAATAATGAGTTTGTTATTTTTGTTCATCATGCACAGATAAATACTTGCAATGGTTTCTACTGTGACTACTTCTCTCCAAATAAGGCTTATAAACCAAAGATATGGACTGAAGCTTGGACTGGCTGGTAAATTTTCATACTTGTCATTTATACTGGCTTAATTTTCTGTTTCTTTATCAGAGATTTGTGAGGCCTTACCTCTTTGATTGTTTCATTAAATTTTTCTTAAAGGTTTACCGAGTTTGGAGGTCCAGTTCCTTCTCGTCCAGCTGAAGATTTGGCGTTTTCAGTTGCGAGGTTTATACAGAAGGGCGGGTCTTTCATTAATTATTATATGGTAAGCGAATTGTTTGATGTATTTACCAAGTGAATCAAATATATGGATGAGTTCAACTGAATTATTCTTATTTGTTCCTTTGCTATTATGCTTCCAGTATCATGGAGGGACAAACTTCGGCAGGACAGCTGGTGGCCCTTTTATTACCACTAGCTATGATTATGATGCTCCTCTTGACGAATTCGGTATGCCACATGATCATCATCTTGGAGTTTGTTCATCTTGACATTGTTCTTCTAAGCACGTATCATATATTTCGAGTGGTATGCAACATGGCTGCTAATATTTGTTATACTAGTTTGAATTTAAAGTAAGAGAAGGCAGGTTTGAGGTTGCAGTCAGCTTTTTTCTTTAAGTGTTGCAATTGCCAGCATATCACCATAGACAGTTCGCAACACCATGGTGAAGGTTGCTTCTTTCATTTTACAAAATGCAAGAGGGGAAACTCAGTAGATATATTTTTTTGTTGTTGGGGGTGGGGGAAATAACAGCTATACCCCTGTGGTGACATGATGATGTTCCACTTATTGTACAGAACCTGAACCCCCTCATTTGATGGGTGACACTAGATCTTGTAGGCAAAAGGTCAACTGAATGCGACATTCCTATTTGTAGTTTATCTCTAATTGTTTTGGTCAGGAATAACTATATCTATTTTTATCCTGGTATGAAGATTGTTGTAAATCATTAAGGTTACAATGTCCAAGCAAATATTAATCTTTTATGCATACATTAACCAATTCAGTGGTGGGACCTTCTCTTCAGATGGACAATTTTTATCACCATACATTTAAGATAACTAATTGTCTTTTTCATTCAAAATTCTGACTTACACCAAATAAGAGTTTCCGGACCACCTATTTTAGTTTTGGTATATATTATTTTGTATCATGTTATGAACAGGATCCAAATTGTAAAACCTTCAAAGATTTTATGTTCCTCAGAAAACTTATGGAGTATTGACTCTTGCTATGTCTAGGGCTACTACGACAACCTAAATGGGGCCATTTGAAAGATCTGCATAGAGCAATAAAGCTGTGTGAGCCAGCGCTAGTATCTGGAGATTCCACTGTGACGCCTCTTGGAAACTATCAAGAGGTTAGATTTACATGAGCTCTCTATGAACCATATCTCCTATCTTATTTTGGTCCTGAAATTGAACGTCACTCCTCTTCATTGTTACCATACAGGCTCATGTTTTTAAATCAAAGTCTGGAGCTTGTGCTGCATTCCTTGCAAACTACAACTCGCATTCCTTTGCAAAAGTGGCTTTCCGGAATATGCATTACAACCTGCCTCCTTGGTCTATCAGCATTCTTCCAGACTGCAAGAACACAGTTTATAACACAGCAAGGGTGAGAACGGGCTCTTACTTAAATTGGATTTATCCTTATTCTCAATATTAGTATATACACACATATTTATATTTAGTTGAGAATGAAGAAATAGAAAGCTTTAAAATACATTGCAGGAAGTTCCCCTCAAAAGTTTTGCAGTAATTGACATCAAACTGAAATCTTTGTACAGGTTGGCGCTCAAAGTGCACAAATGAAGATGAGTCCTGTTCGTGGAGGATTCTCTTGGCAGTCATACAATGAAGAGACAGCCTCTTACGATGAAAATTCATTTACAATGGTTGGGTTATTGGAGCAGATAAATACCACCAGAGATGCCTCTGATTATTTGTGGTACACGACAGAGTGAGTTCTCTACAATGCTGCACGTTGTTGATTTTCAAAAACAATTTTTTTTTTTTTTTATTACACCGGTTTAGTCACTCATTTGTGTTATTCATACTTTCTTTCAACCCTAGTGTCAAGATTGACCGTAACGAAGGATTTCTGAAGAGTGGGAAGTGGCCTGTACTTTCAGTTTTATCTGCTGGCCATGCTTTGCATGTTTTCATCAATGGTCAACTGTCAGGTGGGCAGCATATTGGTCAACATTAAAAATGTCTTCAGTGCAACTTCTATGATAAACATCTTCGTATCGCTAGAGTATCTATTATTATTATTATTATTTGGCTGAGTTGTTAGAATATGCATATATATAAGTGGGTGCCAGTATTGTCCTCTTTTAATTAAGTTCTTTTAAGTAAAGAAAATGAGGTGAAAGGAGTCACTTCTATAGTTATCCTTACCTCTGCTCTGTGTGACTTTTACTTTTACTGCCAAAAATGATGTTGCTATTTTATTAAGCTAAACAAAACAATAAAATTGCCTAAAATCATGACAGTAGGACACTATAACTTTGTTTGATGATTAGTATGAAGCATACCAATGCGCAATAGATATCATCCTTCCTAGATCTTGCTTGCTAATCAAAAGAACAAAGAAGACTACTTTAGGCAATGCTGAATTTATAACTGGACATCATTTACTTATTTCCTCTTAATACATTCCTAATTTTTGACAGGAACTATTTATGGAAGTTTAGAATACCCAAAACTAACATTTAGTAAGGGTGTGAATCTGCGAGCTGGTTTTAACAAGATTACACTGCTAAGCATTGCTCTGGGTCTACCGGTTTGTTCTCTTTCTCTTATTCACACATACAATGCCTATACTGAATATATATAAATATATATATGTAAAATAAAAAAATACACACCCAGTCATGCCAAACTGACAAACAGATCTTTTGTTCATAAAACATATTTCATGAAAATTTAAATCTGACTTCTCTATGCTTTTGAACTGCCTGTGTTATGAGCTCAGAATATTGGTCCACATTTTGAAACATGGAATGCTGGTGTTCTTGGCCCTGTCTCACTGTACGGTCTCAATGAGGGGAAGAGAGACTTGTCATGGCAGAAATGGACTTACAAGGTTTGTATTCAAGGATTTTACTGTCTTAGTTCATTGCCCTAAATCCTTGATAATTATTTGACTGGAATGTCCCTGATCAGATTGGTCTAAAAGGAGAAGCTCTGGGTCTTCATTCACTCAGTGGGAGTTCTTCTGTTGAGTGGATCGAAGGATTGTCGGTGGCTCAAAAACAGCCACTGACATGGTACAAGGTGAGTATTTCAAATTTTGGGCCAAGGCTTCATTGTTATTCTCAAAATACATAAAATGTGTAAATTCTGAAAGTGTTATTTGGATGGTGCACCAGACAGTTCTAATGTGTTAAATTTAGTTTCTAACAAACAATTTTTTGTTTCATGAAAACAAATTTTCTTTTCTTCCTTTGTTTCTCTTGCTTCTTCTTCTTCTTCTGTTCCAGAAATTTGCTCATCCTCAACCAAAAAAATAAGGAAGAAGTACAGCACGTCTTCATTCATTAACCATTAACACTGAATATTTTTAATCAGATAATGCTTCAAGTGAACAGTGTGCACCCGAATACACCCTTAAAAAAACACTACTACGGAGTCTGCTGCTGCTGACTGACATTTTTCTCTCTGTCATGCTTCAGACTACTTTCAATGCTCCAGCCGGAAATGAACCTTTGGCTCTAGATATGAATAGCATGGGTAAAGGTCAGGTATGGATAAATGGTGAAAGCATCGGACGCTACTGGCCTGGCTACAAAGCATCTGGTAGTTGTGGTGCATGTAGTTATGCCGGTTATTTTAGTGAGAAGAAATGCCTTAGCAATTGTGGGGAGGCGTCTCAAAGATGGTGAGAGAAAAAACCTACTTGGTTTCGAACTTTGTTTTTCAATGTGATAAAATAGTTAATTGACTTACCAGTGATTGATAATTTCAGGTATCACGTTCCTCGTTCCTGGCTTAATCCGACGGGGAATTTATTGGTTGTGTTTGAAGAATGGGGTGGAAATCCATCTGGTATTTCCTTGGTGAAGAGAGAGGTACAAAGTGTATGTGCTGATATTTATGAGTGGCAGCCAACTCTTGTGAATTGGCAGTTGCAGTCCTCTGGTAAAGTCAATAAACCCCTGAGGCCTAAAGCCCACCTTTGGTGTGCCCCTGGTCAGAAAATTTCATCAATTAAATTTGCTAGTTTTGGAACACCAGAAGGGGTTTGTGGAAGCTACCGAGAGGGAAGCTGTCACGCCCATCACTCCTATGATGCATTTTACAAGGTATATTCTCATATCTCAATTGAGTTTATGCCATTTTTTATTTTATTATACTTTCTGCAAGGATACCAAATGTGTTTGTGCTGTTAACTCAGTAGTGAAAATTCATTTTCAAATTATGGCAAACAGGTTGTTCGGTTATTTCTAGCAACTCTCTATTTGTCTTTGTTCTCCGAAGTTGGGTTTTGTTCCCTTCCTCACATATTCAGCAATGCCTTTGGGAAATTATATTTTGCCAGTTTTCACATGGAACAACCAACTTGCCTGAATTTAAGCAGCCAAGTTTAGTGTCAAATTATAATTTAGGTCACTATGCTCATCTTTTATCAATCACCATTTCCCCCCTTTTTGGGACACTAAATACATGAATCTTATCTTGCAGTACTGCATCGGGCAGCAGTCATGCTCAGTAACTGTAGCACCTGCGATGTTTGGAGGAGATCCATGTCCAAGTGTCATGAAGAAACTCTCTGTAGAAGCCATTTGCGGCTGATGATGCAGAGCATTTGATGACAATGAACTTATTTTTACACTTAAGTACAAATTTTCGGAGATCTTTTACATTTTTAGCAAATTTTAACACGTTCAAGATCACCGCGACGATTGGTTTTGGCTTTTGCTAGAGTGAAGGTTGTAGAAATTTACAACACAACATTTGGTGCAAAGCCCACAAAGATTGTGAAGATGATTGTTGGAGAAGTATTTATGTATAGAAACTAGCTGCTGTCTTCCAGATCTTGGCCTGCGCATATCAGAAAAAGTTTGGAGGCACAGGGGGTTACTGGCACATTGGGACCGACAAGCGAGTCCATGTGCCTAATCATAGAACATATAAGCTCTTGGTTTTTAGTGATTTTAAAATGTTATTTTCAGTGTAAATCCCTCTCTTGGAAGCAATTGATTCGTCGCTTTGTCCTTGTAAGAAGGCTTTGAAATTGGTGATAATTATATCAAGCTTATGAAATATTGTCTTGGTTTATTTCTTTTTGTGTGTGACTTCATCAATTTCAGGCTTTTCGGCTGTAGCTGTATTATGCAACTGCAAACCAATACTGTAATATAAAGACTGAACTGCATTCTTTTATCTTTCATAGTCATATAAGATGTTTCATTTCCTTACTAGCTTGGCTGAAATTCAAAATCTTTGGTGGATCTCCAGTAAAATAGAGGTGTCCCCTTGAAGTATAAGCTGGCCTAAATAATAGGAGGTCATAGTTACTGTCTGGAAAGTTTTATTTTGCTGATGTTCTGGTCCAATACTGTGAGTTTACCTAGGGTTTTTAGGTACACTTGTGCTCTATAAGAAGCTAATGACAATAACACTCTTTTTGTCATAGTCTTGTTTGGTTCTCTAGAGCTATTTCAAAACACTATTTTTGCCTTTGGCTTGCTATGCAAGAAAAACTAAGCACTAGAGAAAAGAGTGTTGAATTCCCTAATCCAACCTAATGTTTGTATCCTTCGTCTCAAAAAGTGCATTTTTCTTTTCAATTGGATGATGCCCATATAAGGAAACTTTGCCAATAATTAGGATTGACATGGAATCCACATTTATTCTATAGATGTTCCTTCTCTTCAATGATCTTGAATGCTCTACAGTTTAAATGTGGATTCCATGTCAATCCTAATTTTTGTCAAAGTTTCCTTAAATGGGCATTGTCCAATTGAAAAGAAAAAAGTGATATCATATGTGGAAAGAAAGGAATGCTAGGATTTTGCAGAGTGATACCTCATTTCCGATCAAAGTCTTGAACTCCATCATTGAATCTGTTCGATTCCTAATCTCTTTGTCAATTGTAGCAAGTGGCCTCTTGCCGTGTTAATTGCATCAAATGGGAATCCCCCTAATGTTACATTTGGAAGCACAGAATCCGGCTGCTTGAGTTTGGAATCTGAAGAAATTTAGTTAAATTTGCTGCTCCCAAACATAGTATAAATCCATTCTTTTTTCTTTCTTTTTTTTTCCCAACCAAAAGGAACCCTTCTTTTCTATCCCACCTGATCTAGGGTTGCGATAACTCTTCTTCAATGCCTCTGTCAGTCTGTTGATGTTCCACAGTTTGAATTTCAGCCAAGGGTTGTTGGTCCTAATGGGCTTGGACCATTTCTTTGTAAAGTTTTTGTTAATTCCTTTTTCATCCAATTAATTACTTGGACTTTTCTTCCTTGCCTTTGGGCTTCTGGCCGGTTTTGTGTAGGCCCATGGGCACATGTTTTTGAAATGACTAGACTACATATGCAAGCTGAAAAAGAATGATAAAACTATATAGTAAATATTAATTAAACCAAGTATATGCATTTTCAGATAAGATAAGATAAATGGTCTAATTTATAAAAATAATAGAATTTGTTCCGTCATTGAAGGACAAAGACTAAAAAGCTTCTAGAATATTCAACCTTGAAGACTGAATCTAGACTGCAAGACACGTAGACCGGTCAGTTTGGACCATTTCTCTTGGTGACGTGCACTTTTTTACATACTCTGTTATGTATGTCACTTTTATTTCTCTGGTAATTCATACATGGATTAAAACATTTAATCAATAAAAATAATTAGTTAGTTAAATAAAATATATATAAATTATAATTGATTTTTGTTCGATGATTACTAAATTTGATTAATGGGCACTATCTCATATTGCAAAAGTTCTCCTTCCTAGGTGGAGAGGTTAAAAATTTGAGTATCGGTAAAGACATAATATTATAGTGTGCGTTACTCAGGCTTTATTTGGTTAGATGAAAATAAGCAATAAAAGAAAAAAAATTAGAAAGTGAAAGAAAAGTAAAGTCAATGAAAATAAAATAGATTTTCTAACATGCATGTAGTTAGCATGAAAATTTATCCAAAAAAATTATAAAAAAATATTAATTTATTAGTTTAGATAGCATGAAAGTAAAAAGAAAATGATTATACATATCAAAATTATTCTTATAAAGTAAAATGATGGATTATTAAATTCAAATATATAATTGTTTATATTTATTTCTATTATTTATATTTAGAATAAGGCTTCATAATATTTTTTTTAAGTAAAACTTAATTATTAGTTTAAGATAAACAAATTAAAAAAAATAAAAAATTAGAGATAAGAAGCAATACTAGTGTTTGGGAGAAAATCAAATATTTCACCCTATATATATATATATATATATATATATACGGATTATGAGTGGTTAGAATTGCAACATAGAATAGACAATTAAAAAAAATAAAAAAATTCTATTTAGAAGCAGGAACTATTTTGAGAAATTTTATCCAAATTATCATTGATATTCTACATATATATATAACTGTATAATTGATATTTTGTGAACTTTTACGTGAAAATAAAATTTTCAAGCGTGTTTTTTGGTGGAAAAATTTTAAGGAAAATACTCAATGCGGGAAACTAAATTTTTTATTAAAATTTTATTTTTCCTTTCTTTTCTAGCTGTTTCCACCCAAACAAAATCTTATACTTTCCCAAAAAAAAAAAAACTCAATCTCATATGTTAATATTGCATATAATTTATTTTAATATATTATTTTATGTTATAATATTACATATTATCAAATTATTTTTATCATTATCTTTTTCTTTCTTCCTTTTTTTTTTTTTTTCTCAAGTGTTTTATTAGCAAATAGCCAAATACCTAAATTCTTCACTCCTTTTTTTATTCATATTTTATTTTTCTTCTCGACTTCCCTATTTTTTTTAAACTAAAAAGCTTCTAGTATATTCAACCTCACTCAACCTAGATGGAGAAGACTGAATCTAGAGTGCAAGACACGAAGACCAGTCAGTTTGGACCATTTCTTTTGGTGGCATGCACTTTACATACTTCTGTTATGTATGTCACTTTTATTTCTCTGGTAATTCATACATGGATTAAAATTTAATCAATAACAATAATTAGTTACTTAAACAAAATAGATATAAATTATAAGAATAATGAAACTTGCACTGATGAGTTGGGAGAACCATTAAGTCTATTATATTTGATTGTTCACCAATGAATTAGATAATGAAGTATTTTTTTTATATTTGACATGCATTGACCAACCAGAAATAATAAGTCTAACAATTTTGCTTAATTCTTTGGTGTAAGTATAGTACTCTAATTATAATTGAATTGATTTTTATCCGATGTTAACTCAATTTGATTAATGGGTACTATCTCAGATTCATAAGCTCTCCTTCCTAAATGGAGAGAGGTTGAGTATTTGAGTCTCCGTAAAGACATAATATTATTGATTTGGATCCCTCAAGTTAAATTTTCTCAAAGTTATCCTAAATTGGCACGTGACATTTAAAATCTATCTACTTTACCAAAATTTGAAAAATTTTGAATCACCATACTTTAACGACATTAACGTGATTTTTGGTGCCTAAAAGCTCTAGTTCACTATCTTTTTTCTGAAATCTAAATTGTAAAAAAATTTAAACTGCAAAATTGCTTTGATTCACCGTAGATAGATTTAAATGTCACGGTCAATCGACAGAAAATTTAACTTAGAATAACTTAAAGAAGATTTCACTTAAAGGATCCAAATCCATTATAGTGTGTTGCTTATACTTTCCGAGAAAAAAACGAACTCAATCTGATATTTTAATATTGCATATATTTTATTTTAATATATTAATTTATGTTATAATATTACATATTATCAAATTATTTTTATCATTATCTTTTTCTTTCTTCCTTTTTTTTTCCCTCAAGTGTTTTTATTACTTGTAACAAATAGCCAAATACCTAAATTATTCACTCCTTTTTTTTAATTCATATTTTTTTTTTTTCTCAACTTCCCTATTTTTTTCCCTAATCATTATTTGCCGATCTCTTGTGATATTATTTTTTTCACAATAGATTATACCTTAACAAGTTGGGGTTATCAGATCAGGTATTTATTAATAATGAAAATCAAATATATATTTTAAATAATCCATCGGGTTATGAGACAGGATTTTAAAAAAAATACTAATACTAATCTAATTGGATTCGGATCAAATTGAGCTTGATCCGACCTAGATCGAACCCATTTACAGGCCTGACTACATTCATCAACTTGCTGAATTCAATTTAACACCGAAATTTTGTCACGTTGGAAGCACTTAATATGTATCATGTTCAATTAATAACATAATAAATTACATTTACTTCCACTAAGGTGTAGCATACTCTCATTAACCTCATTTCTTGTTCGAAATTTTTTAATGAACTAGCTTGTTTAATATTGCACCAAACCTTCATGGACCCCGTGGTTCAAAATTTTTTTTTTTAATGAACTCCCACTGTTAAATACTGTACTAAAGTTTAAAGGAGTAGTGATTTACCTTTTCACTCTCAATTGTTATTATATCATTGAAAAGTGGATTAAAGTGAAAAGAGAATAATCAATATGATGTAATTTAATTTTGGTCACAAAGGTAAATACAATCTTTTGACTCGAAAATCTATTATTAAGCACTAAATCCAGGGAGATATGTAATTTTTGCATTAAAAGAGAAGCTAAATTTATACCACAATCAAAGTGAGTTTAATTGCCTATTTTGGCACCCAAGACTAAAATGGAATAAAAATGAAAAGAGAATAATAATGGAATGAAATGTTCATTATTATTATTTTATGAAAAATGATATGATTGATGATTTTTTTATCCGAACTTAAAATAGTCTGATATAAAAATATAGCGTAAAATAATATAAAAATGAAAAATTGCTATAGAATGGTGGTACGATGTTAGTGGTAGTGATATTGGCAAAAGCAGTAGTAGTGGAAATCAATGGCGAGGCAACAATGGTGGTGGTGAAATGATAGAAGGCGGTGGTGATGCGAGTGGTGATGATCACAGTTGTGATGTTATTTGCGAAATTAATTTTTATTTCAGGAAAATTCCATTCCATTCTAGCGGTAATAAAATTTTATACCTAAAAGTGGAATAAATTTAAAAGATAATAAGGAATAATGATGTAATTTTATTTTGCTGAGATAAGTAAATCCAATCTTTTAACTCGAAAATTTATTATTAGGCACTAACTGTAAATTTTGGTTGTCATGTTACTCAATAACATTTTGCCGTCATTCTAGCCACAAGCTTTCTCAATCTAAAGCAGAGAGAGAAACAGAAATAGAAGATTAGGATTGGATTAGAACATTCAGAGAATCATCCCCTGTTACTAGGTATAGAAATTGAGGACTGAGTACGTATCACTCTTTAGATTGGGTTGGACCATTTTAAACTACACAACAACACAAAACAAAACGCAATTCTCTTTTTCTCTCCTCTTTCTCTCTCTCTGTGTGTAAATGACTATCAATGGCGGCGACTACTTCTACGCCCTTTCTCTATCTCATCTTATCTAATCCTCCACCTGTAATGGACAATAAGTCGAAATTACAACAACCCATGTTCTATCCTCTCTTCTTCTTCACCTTCTGTCTCCTCTCCCTCTCCATTCTCATCTTCTCCCTCTACAAAAGACTCAAGAGAACAGAGCAACAAGCTTCGAACTCGATTATCGAATGTCCTCTCTCGAAAATTGTAGATAATACCCAACAAACCCATGAATCAAACCTCACCCAGTTGACCCATTCGCTTCTTCTTGAGATCTTACCATCCAATTCGCCCAAATGGGATACTCTGTTCAGTGATGAGGGGTGTGGTGAACCGGTTCCAAAAGGGCCGGGTTTGGATAGGGAAAGGGTTGATTCGGGTGGGGAAGATTGTGGGAAGAAGAGTAAGAAGAAGAAGAGAGCGAAGAAGAAGAGGTCTAATTCGAACTCTGAAGACGGTGGCGATGGGAGGTGTGTGGGGAAGGAGGGATTGGGGGCGAAGGAGAAGCAAGATTTGGTGTGTCTGTATCCCTTTACGTCGTCGTCTAGTGTAACACAGAGGAAGATCAAGCAACAATATGATCAGCTTGTGAAGTCCCATGAGGCTAATGGCTTGACACTGGCTCAGGTTTTCTATTTTCTAACCCAGTTTTTGTCTTTTTGTTTTAAATGTTCTTCATTGTCATTAGGTATTCACTCTTTGTATAGAAACTAAAATAAAAAAATAAAAAATAATTCAAAAAGGAATTTTCAACTTTGTTGTTATTTAATGATTGTTTAGTTTTATAGATATGTATAATTTTCTTTGGGTTGGTTTTATACTGACTTGCCATTCTGCTGCTGTACTCAATAGTGTTATTGGAATTCTTATATAAGATTAGTTTCGGTTTAACCATTTTTTCATCTATTGATATTCATGATAATCAGTGGATGATTCTTTACCCTCAATTCAAACATAAACATGTGTTTCTAGGAGGATGGTGGAAACCTCTTCACCAGTGCCAAAAACTTTAGAATTGGCTTTTGCCTGGTTCTGTGATTGTCAAAACGTCCAGGCAACCCCTATTCAGGGCAATAGACTTTCCTTTTAGAACAGGTCACCTAGATAATTCACATAAGCAAAATGCAATAATTCTTCATTTAAACTTTACTTTATTTTCAATAAATAATATATTGACAACGTATAAGGTATAAAGAAAACACAAAATGAGCATTTAGTGTGAATATTGTTGACAATTACGGTATCAAAGTTTATATTCAACTGGAAAATAAAATACGTTTTCAACTTTGAAGTAACAATATACTCTGTATTCTTTACTTTATCAATTCCTGTGACTTGCATCCTTTTACATTCAAGTTCTTTTGAGTTAAAAAGTTGATTTCTTATAACCCTCACATCAATATCACTTTTTTATGTTTTTTTTTTTTAAAAAAAAAAGAACTGATTGTTGAGATATAATTTTTAGAATAATAATTTGGGGAAGAAATAGCTTTGAGATATTATCCCGTTGCTCAGATGTGCACCCGAGTGCCTAGACAGACACCCTTAAAATTGAGCGGCACCCCACATCATGGTCGTGTAGGCAAGGGTAGCTTAAGCTTTTAGGAACTTCTAGTACCTAGGCTGTCACGTGAGTGCCCAAACTGCTGCCTGTAAGAATGGTTTGGTCACTCTAAAGAGTTTATGCTTTGCCACCTGCACAACCGTATGCAATATATCTCCATGCTAAAGTAGACTTGGGTGTTATGGTCATACACAAACATAGACCGAAAGATGCATCGGTTAGAAGAGATGGAGTTGCTTGCCTAGAAGGTAAAGTAGACTTAGGTTGTATGGTTATACAACCCCATTCGTATGGGATAAAGGTAAGGAGGATGATGATTGTGTTTCAAGGAAGAGGGATTGCAGAAGTGTACGTTTCCTGGCCTATTTCACAATTCATTTCTTGGACTAGCGAAGCTAGAAGGTTTCCTATTCCGGATCCTACAAGGTGTAAGGGTCTCATGTAGAGCCAGCCTACATTAGCTTGTTATAAACCCATACATTTACAAGCTTATCAATTTGGCTTTCAAAATATTTAATCTTTTATATACCATTTGAATGATGGGTGAGGCAATTATTCATGAGGTAATACCAGGCTGAGGATTCTTTCTGGATTTTCTGGAGATGATAGTTGGTGGCAGTCCAGGAAGTATGCATGATATGTTACTGAGGTACATGTGTCAGGTATCAGGGATCGGGGTTACTGGGTTAGTTATGTATTTAGGTACTAGGACTGTTTTTGTCGAAACTTCCTATCTAAGGATTTTGGGGACTCATACGAGTTGTCCACCTGATGCATACAAACACTAGGGTGTACCATCCGTCAAGTTTCTGATGTATCCTTATGGTGATCATTGATGGTGTCCGATAAGTATGTCACTCAACTAAAAAGGGAAGAGGTTATAAAAGTTTAATATGAAACTCAATTTTGTTACTTGTGATTGTTGCAACGTATGTAGAATACCAATGATGTAGGGCTTGAATGATCTAATACATATCCCACATGGAAGATTCTAGTAGAGTATCAGCAAGTAAATTTAGTTTGGATGCCAGCAAAGATACTGATGTAAGACGGTTTAATTATGGGTTGTTTTCAAGATGTCAAGTTTCATGGATTTCATCCAATTCTTCATTAGTTGAGAGAAAAGGAAAAATATCTTTTTTTCTTTTTTTGAAGATGCAAGGCAAACCAAATTGCATTCAGATAAGTGGGACCAATGCTGGATGGTGATGTTCTTAGAAGGCAAAATACTGACAATTATGAACGTTATCCTCATAAAAAAATGTCATTATTTTCCCCCTTTTTTGTATAGATCTTTTTTTTTCCTGGAAAAGAATAAAAGAAAGGAGAATAACAAATTGAGCCCCAACATGTCTTGGATAGAGGTAGTACAATGCCTTTACGTGATTTTAACACAACTAGTTTCCCATTGTTTTGGACAACTTATGCATTTTAATAATACTAATTCACCGCTCATTATCGGTTTTGAAGAAAACCACTCCAGCAACTCAAGTCACCTCATCATATTCTAATTATGTCATTAAAGGTTTGAAGAAAACCACTCCAGCAACTAGTGTCACCTCATCATATTCTAATTATGTCACTATGGAAGCCATACTCTGATCTTACCACATTTAGAGTATGTGACATACCTTGTTCTAGTATCTATACCAATACCATGTTCCAGCGTGGTCCACGTTCCAGGTGCAACTGTTTCTTTTGATTGGTTTGGTAATCAAACCCAAACAAAAATGCTGTCTAGCATTAACTTGAGTATGGACCCGTTTTTCTCACCGAATTAATTTAGTCAACACTCAACCGATATTGATGATAAAACTAAGCTTCTTAACTTGATAAAACCAATCCAACTTTAGTTTGTAATGTCAGTTCTGGTTGAGTGCCAATTTAATTTTGGCCTAATATGATATATAAATGTAGGATACTGATGCAGATTTCAGATACTGTTTTTGGTTTTATCCATGAATTTATGCAAAACCAAATATGGATAACCCCGTCCACAACTCTATTATTTATCTGCTAAGCAATGTTGTAAATAACAAGCCCAACCAAAGTCTTTGCTTGAGGTATATGTCCTCCACCTCCGGTGAAGGGTTCAATACTCAGCGTGGGCATGTATATGTCGGTATACTTACCTATTGTAAAAAGGAAAAAGAAAATTACAAACCCAGGCCATCATTGGATTTCAGATCAATTGGGTTTTAGTTTGGACCAACCCAGTCGTCACTTGAAAAGTCCCATTTTCATACTCATTCATCCATGCTATTCCTATGAAAATTTTTGCTTTCTGTTGCACCTGAGCCTAAGGCTAATTCACAACTGACTCTAACCACTGGCAGTTAATGCTTGCTGAAATGGAAAAGAAGGTTACAAGATCAATAAATAAATAAATAAGTGCCATCATGAAATATGAGGTCTGTGTCAACTTTCAAAAGTGCTCAATAAAGTCTGCTACTGTAGCGCCTAAGCTCTGGCTTAAGTCATCGCCTGTGTTTGAACACCTTCACTTGATTATGTCCACACAATCACACAAACACATGAACAACTAGTGGTCATGCATATATTAAGTAACAGATGTCATAACTGTAAAATTGCAATGGTCGCATAATTCATTTCCACAGACTTCCACGTGACATAAGGATGTAAAACTAAGTTCATACATTCAGAATATCTCACACGCATAGAAAAACACTATTTATCTGCACTGGTGCGAATGGGCAAGCATATGTTATGTAGGACAGCTCGAAAAATAAGAATGTGATTGTCATTGTAATTGCCGCATGATTCATTCCCATAACACATCTATTTTCTTTACGAGTTACAGTGTTGATATTTCCGCTTCAACTAGGTACACCAACCTTGCTTCTATAGATCTTTACAATATTGCATGCAGGACCTATTGTTTTCTTTGTTGTACTTTATGATTTTGAATATGGAACTGATTACCTACAGTAGCACATTTTTTGTTGATCTCTGCCAATAGCGAGTAATGTCATAAAAACTGCCATGCCAAGATAATTATTGTTGTCAGGGAAATGACAAGGACCGTGGTCAACATCTATTCCATCCTCTTTAAACTTCTGTTCTTTCCGTACATATAATTAGCCATTGTTGGTTTTATCTACTGCCTCATATATTATGGTGTGGTCCTGGATGGAGTACTTGCAGCCATCATTGCACCCCTGGAACCATTATCTCCTCTTTATGTAGGTCAAGAGGATTTCAGTTAGTTTCTCATATATGCATAATATTTGCAATTGCTAAATTCATATTCTTGGGAATGGCTCGTTCCCTCCCTCTCTTTCTCTATGGCACATGCATATCTTGACTTTGTAAATGTTCTTTGGTTTGCAATACTTCTCGATTTTGGTTATACCATCCTAAAAAACAAGAGTTTGAGTTCCTCTTTTGAGCCAGCAATGTCTATTTTTAACCCATTCTTAACAATTACTAATATTTTGTTGCGTGAATTTTCTGCAATTGGCAATTTAGCATTGAATTTATTGTCTTCATAATCATATGTTTTATCGGCACAGCAATGCTGTTATTCACTTGGGGTTCTGGCCTGACAATTCCATTCCCCAAAATCTAGATATATGGTGCAACTACATGACAATTTATTTTTATGATTATTATTTATCTTTTGGTGGATCTGCTTTATGGAAAAGGCTCGTCTGTTTAAGGGTTTCATATTGTGTTGGGATGGGTATGGATGTGTGTATTTGTTAAAGAACCGTGGGCTTCATTTGGTTGTTGAGAATATTTTGTGAAAGGTCATTGTTGAGAAAAATGATGTAAAGTAAATGAAAATAGAATGAAGAAAAGGGTGTGACAACATAGACCCTAGGGCGCCTTGACCTTTTTTTTTTGTTTGGCAAACGCCTTGACCTTTTAACAACTATGTATAGAACATATAAAAATATCATAAAGTAAACTATAGATAAACATAAATCATGTGATAGACTATTAGCAAACCGTTTTATCTATAACTATGAAAGGAAAACAGTAATCAAGTGTCACCAAACTAAGGTTGAGTTTTTGACTTTCTAGTGAGCAGGATCAGTATAAGTACCAAAAGGCATATTAATGTAGACCTGCCTGATGGGCGGAACCCGGTTATTTTTCACATCCTACTTTAGAATTGTACGATGACTTTGCTTCATGAACAGTGTCTATGCTAACCGAACAAGTGTACTCCAAATCAAGGGGAATAATGCACTTGACTTGCGGATATGCCAGATAATTTTATAGTGTATATAATTAGCTGTATGACTATAGATGTGCAGGTTTTATCACTTTTAATTGCTTGTCTTGGAGTATTCTGACTTCGGAAACTGTGAGTAGTAAAATGGATAGAAAGGGCAAGCAGAATGCTTCTGACTCTTTTGCATGTGATTGCACGGTGCCAGAAAAGAACTCTGTCAAACTTTTTTTTAGTGATAAGATGGTGCAATAAATTTGAAAATTGAAAATCTGTCTCTGCATTTTAGCTCATGTCCTATCATTTTTGAGAAATTTTCAAATTCCAATCTCATTTAAGCATGAGAGGAAAAATCAAGGAAATTATTTTTCCTTTCTTTATCTTTTCCTCTTCCTTTCTTTAACTAAATCTATGGATCAAACAGAGCCTCATTGTTCAGTTAGGCGTGAAGTTTATGTCACAAGTGAAACATAATAGTTGTAGAAACCTGGCCTGTTGATTTGATTGGTGCAAATAAATTTTCTGCCCCAGTTATACACTCTCTCTCTCTCTCTCTCTCTCTCTCTCTCTCTCTCTTCTTTTTTAACTGATGAATCATATAATGCAAGCTATGAACGATTTGGCTGAAACAGCACTTACAGTTATGTACTTTTTCATGCTTATGTGTTCAGGTTGGACAGTTTGTTAATTGCTTGGTTGAGGCAAGAAATGAGCTAAAGCACAAGTATGTTATCAAATTCTTTGTAGACAACTGATCTTTTTCTTTTTCTTTTTCTTTTCTGTGTGTGTGTGTGCATGTCTGAACATGCAACAGACACGTGTTCATCTTTTTGCAGATTGATAGTGACCATAGTAACACCTATTATCCTTGAAATTATGTGTTCTTTAGTAAAGATATGTAATCCTTTTTATATAGTTTGCAATTTAACTGCATGATAAAGTTAAACGGTAAGAATAATTATTGAAGAGTTGTAAGATTCCAAATTTAGCTATTAGCGGACTAGCTTCTGAACAACATATGTTTTTTTTGTTTCCTACTTCGTTCCTTAAAATTATCAATTTTTTCTTTCGAGATGCTTCCAAAATATGAATATTTTTGGTACCATGGATCTCCAACCTTCATATGATACATTCTTGAATAATTCTGGATTTTCTCTGTGACATAGGCTTTAAAATAATTCCTTTTTCCTTGAATATATATCATTAAAATCATAACCAAATTTTCTTGTTGAACAGGTCTGAGGTCATCCAACGGAAGTTCACAATAACAAAGGCTCTACTATTCAAGGCAGACAGGTCTTCATTTGACCGTCTTCATCAACAGGTTGATGACAGAACTAGCTTATTGATTTTCTGCCTGTTGTAAAAAACAAATAGGAGTTGTTATTATCTTACATATATAAAGATGGTTAATTTTTTTGGGTACATGCAGATATATAAGCTAGAATTAGAACAGAAGAGATTAGAAGAAGATGCATTTGTATATAACTGGCTCCAGCAACAGCTTAAGCTTTCGCCAGCATACAAGAAGGTAATAAGGACCTTGGTTTATAACTTACCTAGTTGAAGACATTAACTCCATAGGAGGCTTTAAATATCAATTGTGTTGGCCTGAATTTGAATGTTCTTCGTGCTTGCTAGTTTTGAAAATGCTGATTAGAGATTACTATGCAAATGACTAATAAGTGACTACATTCAGTTAGTTGGGAACCCTTTTATGGAGAACCTTGCACATGGCTACATGTCAATCTTAGTACCGTGGTTAGAGAAGTGCAGCTGTCATTTAATTGATAGTAAGCTAGATGAAATACAGCTGTCATTTAATTGAAAGTAAGCTAGATGAAATAATGCGATGGTCTTTAGTAAAGTATCTTGTTTTTGTTCCTTGAAAACAATCTGTCAAATCTTTGGTAAGATGATGATGGTCTCTGGTAAAGTATCTTGGTTTTGTTCCTTAAAAACGATCTTTGATAAGATTACTGTAGTATCCGCCCTTATCTTCCTCACTTTTATATTATCTCACTTAAACCGGATTTGAACATATCTCCCTAGAATGAAGTCTTATGTTTTAGTTCGATGATGATGCTGAATGAATTATAATCTTTCCCGTTTAACTTGAAGATGCTTGAAATTGGTGCCTGCATGGCATTGAAAGCCAAATCTGGTGAGCTGATGGAAAGCACAGATAGCACAGATACTGAGTTTGACGAAATTTCATTTGAAGAGTTACTAGCACAGGAGAAGAAAGATTCTTTTTGGTTGGTTTCTGATCTTACAATATTAAATCCGTAGTCATTTTTGGCACTGCTCATCAATAATGATGTTTTTGCATGTGCAGGCAGAGAAATGGCAAACCTAGATCATGCTCAGGCTGATGGTCGGCGTTGCTTGCGAATGTGCTAATTGGTTTTACTAACAGCAGCATTCACAATCTAATACCCCAAATCAAGCGCCATTTCTGCAATTTTACATGGCCATAACAATTTATCCTCTTTTTGGGTTTTCCTGCCAAAAGCTAAGCTAATCTGCCCAAGCATATGTCGAAGTATATTATATGCCATATTTTGTTCTCCTCTGATTACTACAACATGCTCATCATTCAAGTTGATTTTTTATTCTTTTTAGGTTTTCTGTGTCTATTTCATGTGTGTTATTTTCTTCTTTTTAATTTTTTATATTTGAAGAGACATTGTAGTGTTGATAGTCACAACTGTTGAAGTTCTTTTTTTTTTTTTTTTTTTTTCCTAAATGAAGAAAAATTTTGTAAGATAAAACAATATAGTACAAGAATAAAGTGAAGACAATTCTTCACTAAGACACACAAGCACATCTAGGGAAGAGCAGACAAAACCTGCAACAACCTGAAACTCCTATGAACTTAAAAAATCTTGAAGACTAATTCCAGCAATATCAAGAGCATCCCAGACAATGCATTTGACTAGGAAAGAAGGAGATCGAATAACATCAGTATGAAGTCTACCATTTCGTTCAGTCCAAAAATAATACATAGAAGCTGTAAACAACATCTTATGCACTTTGTTCCTGCAAGATTTAATGTAAAATTGAGCTTGCAGGTCAGCAGTGAAAGAGCTAACAGAGTTCAGCTTTTGAACACTCCAATGAAATATACCAGCTAAGCCACACCAGACCTCCCAAGCATACACACATTTCACAAACATGTGATCAACATGTTCTTCATTGCAGCCACACAAGCCACATCTGGAAGCTAAAGAGATTCCTCTACGCTGCAAATTAGCACCTGTTAGGACAGCATTTTGAATAATCAAAGCACTATACACAGACCATCGAGGTCTACCCCCATTCCAAACCAAACCAAACCAAAAAACTTCAGGTTTTGAATCCCTGCAAGAGTCCCAAGCAGCTTTGAATGTAAAAGATTTATTGTTCCACAATAACTGGTCCTCACCACCATGAATCTTGAATTGTTGGAAAAATTGTTGAACAACAAATGGAACATCATCGAACTGCCACTGATTTTGAACAATGAAACTGCTCAAGTCAATCTGCTTATTAGAGGATACCTGTCTCAAGGTTCTATAACTGAAAACCTCTGATAAAAATTGACCCTCACACCATGGATCCATAAAAGTTTTAATCTTATCACCATTGCCAATGCGATAAGAACATTGTACCTTAAGAGTATCTCTAACTGATACAATGCTCTTCCAAATGGATGAATGATTAACCTTTAGAATAACAGACCAGTAGGAAGCATTAGTTAAATAGCGTTTGTTGAACCATGCTACCCACAACCTATCCTTCGAAAGAAGGAAGTCCCAAGCTAAAGAACACTTTGCAGCTTTATCAATGTCACTAATTTGCCTTAAACCAAAACCTCCTTCTGTTTTTGGAGAAGTGACTCTTTTCCAACACATGCTATGCAGCTTGAAGTTGATCTCATTATGCCCCCAAGCAAAATTTCTCATCCTTCTTTCAATTAAGTTAATGACAGTAGCAGGAATACTGTAAACTGAAGACCAGTATAAAACCATAGGAGTAACCACAGCTCTTAATAACTCAATGCGACCTGCCATTGAAAGGTTCATACCAGCCCATCTAGTAGTTGCAGCAACAACCTTATCCATCAAAGGTTTACAATCCAACCTCCTAATTCCTCTGTCAGAAATAGGAAGGCCTAAGTAAGTAAAAGGGAGAGACCCCTGCCTGCATCCCAAAATTCTCAGCACAGTATTCTTCCTCTTAACAGACCTTGTAAAATATACTTCTGATTTTTCTTTATTAACTGCCAGGCCAGAGACTTCTTCAAAATGTTTCATCATCCTTCGCAAAGTGAATACTGAAGCTATATTAGCTCTCACAACCACAAGTCATCAGCAAAAAATTGGTGAGTGGCCAAACAATTTGCCTTGACAGCAGCAGGAGAAGCAACTAAGTTCCCCTTTAGACACTCAAATTCAAACATGGAAGATAAATATTCAGTGACCAAAGTGAAGAGCAAAGGGGAAAGTGGACAACCTTGTCTAAGGCCTCTTGATGGTTGAAAGAAACCATGTGGACTTCCATCCACCATGATAGAAAATCGAACAGTTGTCACTGCTGCTTTAACCCAACCAATCCATTTATTTCCGAAGCCATAGAGCTGTAGAAGACTAAACAGAAACTCCCATTGAACTGAGTCATAAGCCTTTCGAAGATCCACCTTCCAAGCTAAAGTAGGAGGAGTATGCTTAGCTCCAAAGCCTCTCAATAATTCAGAGGCAATGATGAGATTATCCTGAATTTTCCTACCACTGACAAAAGCATTTTGTTCCTTACCCACAATTTGATCAAGAACAACACTCAATCTATTAGCCAACAATTTGGTAATGATCTTATAGATGACATTGCAAAGAGCAATAGGCCTAAAGTCCCCAATCTTGTTTGCTACCTTTATCTTAGGAATAAGAGTAATGAAGGTGCTGTTAAGCCCTTTATCCATGACTGAGCATTGAAAAAAATGCAACACAGCAGAATTAATATCTTCACAACTGTTGAAGTTCATAGGGAGGTTGAAACATGGTCTGGCGTTGGAATGCACGAGACTATGCCAACATGTTACAGGAAATGAACTTTTAATAAGCTCGGGAAACAACTTATTCATGTGTTTTATTGGAAATTGGAATTTCTGGGGTCACTTCAGTTTGCCTAATGATAAATTAGAGTCTTGATTTCAATTAGGCAGTGCGCAATTTCTGAAACTTCCCGAGTTTTTATTTTTTTTCATGTAAAGCTTGTCAGCCGCCTAGAAATTTTTTAAAAAAAACAAACGCATAGCTATCTGATGAATGTGTTACAAGCACTCTGTTGAATTCAGTGAGGCAACATTTATGCGTGACAAAGGAGCAATGATAAATAATTAGAGAACATATGCATGGTTGCGAGTAGGCTACCTATAAAATAAAATACAAGACACGCCTTCAGACACAAAGCAAAATTATATATATATATATATATATATATATATATATATGATCAGAAGGGTCCAACTCCCAAATCTTAGATGAGAGAGAGGACTCAAAGCTATCGTGCAGGCGTGCACGCTAAGCAGGTATAGGGTAAAGCACAATCAAAAGAAAAATAAATAATAACTAAAAGATCAACTGAAGCACTCCTCTCAAAGCAAGCTCCATATCCATTTTAACTCGTCTCATTCCAAACACCCAGAGCACAACAACACAGCTTTCTATTGCTCTTGATCACGGCCTTAACCCACAAACCCTACAATCAAATCGATCCACTGAAGCAATCACATATCCGGAGTAGAATGAATACTGTTTAACTTCATCAGAAAATACGTCATTTCTGAATATTTAACAGCTTTTTATTGTTACTTTTTACCGGATTCTCAAGCCTCGGTTGACAAAATGTTACGATGCCTAATCATGTGGGATAGGGAACGACTCAAATCAACAACAAGAATGATCTCTTTACTTGACCTGTATCAAAAAAATGGTAAACTGCCTTCACAATTAAATGATCCATGAAAAACATCACATTCCATAAAAATCTTATGGCATAATCTCACAATCAAGGGTCTCCTTCATTCAGTCTCTGAAAATAGTCTCTGTTTTGACGGAAAAAAACAAAACAAAAACAATCTACGGTATATAGACCTGAGGTAGAAGTTTTAATCTACAAAAAATTCTACTTCACAAAAACATATTCATTTTCAAGAAAACCCTCACTAAGGCTTTCCCTTGCTCCATCCATCACCCCAACCTTTTCATTAAGAACATCTGACAAAAGTAATGCAAATCAATTTATAAAGAATCAAACTACAAAAGATGTAAATTCCACTAACTAATGATCAATTCTGCATTGCTAATAATATCAAAATGTTTTGCAATAAGTATCATCTCCACTAAAGGTTCTCGCACAGAAACTGCTAAAGCTTCTATGCATAATGATGAAGTCGGGAAGTTCATAGCAAATAACATTGGTATAAACAAAACCAGAAAATGTAACATACAAGCCAAGCCCTAAGCTATCAGCAAGTTGAAGGTGGTCTGGTGAGGTTGGGAATACTTTCCATAGAGTGCACCCCTTATAGTACAAAAGCAGATACAGCCTCTTTATGCTTCATTTCAGGTCTCAAATTCATCTACTCCACATAGAATTCTCTCCTTATTGATACTCAAGACACTGCCCTATCCTAGCATCTTTACATCAATCAATCTTCACAGAGGAGTAGATCTTCCGCACAAACCAGAATGAAGCGTAAAAGCCAATTGTTCCCGTCAACACAAAGAAGGCATATGAACCAATCAGCATATACCCAAAGTACAGGATTCCTGAAACCAGCTTTGTAATTTCCAATTTTGTGAAGAAGTAGAAAACCGAGTAGAGGAAAAGGTATAAAGCAGAGGACCCAGAAGTAAGGTAAGCCCTCCACCACCAATAATAGTCTTCACTGCACAACTGGAAATAACAGAGTACGATAGTAATCTCGGCACATGTGATTATAAGGATAACGAAAACTATGAATAGGAATCCGAAGATGTAATAGAACTGGTTCAGCCATATGGAGGTCAGAATAAAGAATAGTTCAATGAAAACAGCCCCAAATGGTAGAATGCCTCCAATAAGTACAGAGAAGACCGGCTTCATGTACCATGCCTGCTCCGGTATCTGCCTTGGGATTTTGTTTGTTTTTACTGGATCTTCAATGGCTGGTTTTTTGAAGCCCAAGTAACTGCCTACAAACACCAAGGGCACAGATATTCCAAACCATAAGCACACAAGAGCAAACATCGTCCCAAATGGTATCGCTCCAGAAGATTTTTCTCCCCAGATTAGAGAATTCAGCACAAAAAAGATGGCAAAAAGAATACCAGGAAACATAAAAGCAGTTTTCAAGGTATTCCTCTTCCATGCTGTGCCCTTAAACATTTTGTATAATCGTGCAGAGGAATAACCAGCGAACAAACCCATGAAAACCCAAAGGAGAACCATGGCAGTCATAAGCCCACCTCGATTAGAAGGTGATAAGAAACCCAGCAACGCAAACATCATTGTCACAACTGTCATTCCAAAGATCTGAACACCAGTCCCCACATAAACACAAAGTAATCCGGAATTAGTAGGTGCCCTGAAAACATCTCCATGAACAAGTTTCCATCCTGATTCTTCCTGAGCTTCATCTTGTGTTTCCAATTGATTATAATTTGCAATATCTCTGTACAAAGTTCTCATCATGATCATGGCTACCATGCCAGAAAGGAAGAGGACAATCATCAGGGAGTTAATGATGGAGAACCAATGGATCTGATCATCGTTCATGAGGAGGTAGGTGTCCCAACGTGATGCCCATTTGATATCACTTTCCTAGGGGGAAAAAGAAATAGTTGATAAAGGTGGAAAGGCATTGATAAATAGTATAAAGGAGGACAAAAAGTCTATGGTACCTTGAAGGAAACATCATATGTAAATACAACCTCCTTATTAGTATCAACTTCCTGTGGGACAGTGCTACCTTGAATTATATTTTTGGTGTTCTGGTTGCACGTCGTCAACTGAGGGTTCTTATCATCCCATTCCTTGTACTCATGATTAATACTGTTAACAATAGTCAATTAAGAACAACAAATTAAGTAACAATTTGACATCCCACAAAAGGTAAGCCTCTGATAAAATCATATATTCTTCAGATTATATAATGAACACGAATGCAACATTCAGACACCAAAAAGATGGCAATGTTCTATATAATGCAAATCATAACGATTAAAAAATAATAATTAATAACAAAGAAAATAATAATAAATTATGATCTGGACGGATAAACAACATGTATTTGGGATGAAAACTCCTCAAAAAGCAAAAACATAATAAAACAAAACAGATAAAATAACTTGAGGCCCTGCTGCAATTATAAAAAAATTGCTGAAATGAAATATTTAAGTGTACATGAAATGCTAATTTTTTTCCCTAAGCTACATAGAATGATAATTAAATGGGAGGCTCTCACTCTCCGCATGCAAATGGCCCTTGGATATTTCCATTCTCTTGTAAGTTTTTATTCATTTTTTAATATAAATTAGTAGCATTTCAATTTTAAAAATTTGTAGGGGCAACTGGCATGCTTAAACATTAAATGATCATATATATCAGACATTCAACTCCACCCAAGCTCACTTTAAAAAGCAAATGCAAAGCTGACCAAAAACAAAGTGCAGTTAGAAAGCACAAGACCTGTTTGGAGAAACCTCAAACCCCACAATTCGGGCAGAATCAGTCTCTGGATCCTTGTGATACATGACTCTAAAGCTCAAGTGGTTATTGATAAAATACTTCTCTTCTTTGCTCTGCAGAAGCAAATACATGCAGAAAATTTGTATTAAATACATGAGCATTCTGCATGAATAATTATCTACTATAAACTCACCCCTGCATAATTTCCTTTGAACCCAGCGCGGAAACCATGTTCATAAGTGGTTGACTGACTCCCATCCCTCCTTTGTCTAAGAACAGCAACTGGAAGGTTGTCCAGAATCCTGCATGCCCATTTCAGATTTTCAGTTCAAACAATGCAAAGCCATTATTCTTGCACAATTGAATAATAAGAGATGACAATATATAACATTTTTAAACATAAATTATATGATAAAAAGGATTCCAGCAAAAGACAATTTATAATATATAGACAAACAGGACTCAAATAACAAAGGTAATAAAGAGTACAACAACATTTAGCACTTACATGTTAACTCTATATTCATCATCAATTTTTTCCTTAAAGTTCTTTGCAGATTCAGAATCAAGTTTTTGTCGGCAGGCCACTTTGCATGGCTGCTCCTCCCTCATATGAAACTGGGATAGAGTTAAAAAATTTAGATCAACAAAAACACGGAATCCACCAAAGTAATCAAGTCAAAAAAGGGTAACATTTAAAACATTTTGTTTTCTTTTTCTTCTACCAACTACAGCTTGATAGCAAAACAAATAAATATACTAAGAGATGCTCACAGTATAGATGGAATTCTCTATGCGGTCACCTCGAAGGACCTCTCCCAAATTTTCTGCACTGTTCACAATTTTGGTGGGCTTACAGTACTTCAAGAAATAGTAGTCATATGGAAGTTGTGTCTTTGTTGATGACAGCTTGTTCACTTTAACTTGGAGGAGATTGCCCTGGTAACAGGTAGAACAAAAATAAAACAATAGATTATAAGAGGTAAGAAATAAATTGGATGGACACTTTAACATAAAAGAAACTCTTGCCAAATTCACAAAAAAATAATAATAAATAAATAAATAAATAAAAATATGAAACAGAAATGAAACAATTTCATAATCGAATATGAGACAAACACCTTGCCATTTTTTTTCACCTTTATAAGATGAATTTCTGTATAAAACAACGCATTTTACTCCAAATCAAACTACAAGTTGATATAACATATTTATTTCAGACAAATGTTTTTATGTGAATAAATAAATCTATGCATTGATTTAGTAGGATACATTCGTAAGACATTGCAAAAAGCTTTGGCTGCACAAACACAATTTCCAGGTTCTCCAAGTTCAAATGCTGAAATCCATCCAGGAAAGAGTACTCTTACTTCAGCACTTCCTTCAGTCATGAGGGATGAGAATTTGAAAGGAAGGAGAGGGCAAGGGAATGGACAAGATACTAGAAAGAAAGGAAAAAACAGAGACTTTCCCACCTTTTGTTTATTTAAGCGGGAAGGGGAAAAAGGGGGACAAAAAAAAAAAAAAAAAGAAGAAGTATTTCATGTTTTACTACTATGCCTTTATATTTCCAAATAATGGAGTTACATAAACAAAAATGTCAGATATGTGAAAAGTCTTTCCATCTTTTCCTCCCAAAGGTGGGACTTGGGAGGAAGGAATATGATGGATCCGGAGAAACAAATCTCCACTCCTCTCTATTCCCATCCCCTTAGCTTCATACCAAGGAATTGAAATTCTATCCAACCTTGGTCGCCTCCTTAATTTTTCTTCCTCGCACTCTTCTACCTAACAGATCATAAAGAACATTGTTGGATACTCCTTGCCAACTTGATGTAATATGTTTTATTTATTTCATTTTTTATATACAGTGTCAAGAAGAGTTCTCTCTCCCTCCGCATGCATTCTCTCTCTATATCTCTTGGAACAAATTATGCAACTACACCTATATGGTCAGTGCTGAGCACCAGCATCACATTTCTCTGATCTCACATATTCTTAACAAAATACATCTGATGATTTACGGAGTGAAACATGAAAATACATACTTACAAACACAGGCGCTTACATACAGGTGTGCTTGGGTGCACATACAGACACATGCCTAATGGCTAGTAAACTGAAAGATAAATTTGAGAAATAGGCTACATCATCAAAGAGGAAGTATAGTTACTATAGATTTTGGGCAGTTCAACCCATCAGGAACCACAAAGCAACCAAATAACTACAAAAATTACTCAAAAAATGAACACACAAATACAACCACATGTCCAAAACAGAACTTCGAAAAAAATCAACTAGCCAAGGCAATTGAATCACGAATTAGTTTCTCCAACCAAAACCAAATCCAAAACCCTAGATCGAAAACCATTCAAGTCAAAAAGTAAGATCTAATCGAGCTACGACCACAGATCAAAAACCAATACCCTAGATCCATATATTGCATCCACCAACGTCACAATCAATGAAATCTATATGAATCAAACACATTGAGCAAAGAGTACTTAATTATTAATAGATCAAAAGCACGGATAATGAAGAACAGAACAGAGATCAATTTAGTTCAACAACTAAATAATGTGTTTGTATTAGAAGGTGAAAGAACGTACCCTTTGGAAATCACGAGGAGCGACACCTGGGAGATAGAACGAGCTTGCAGATGAAATTAGGAGGAGTAGAGAGAAGAAGATAGAGATGACTCGAGTCGAGCTACTCTCCATCTTCGATTCTAGAGAGAGAGAGAGAGAGTTCCACAGAGCGAGAGAGAGCTGAAGAAGAGGGTCGAGAGTCCAGTCGGTCAAGAGATTATAGAGAAAAAAATTGTGCTATTTCCAAGCACGTTTCTACTACTTCCAATACCTATTAATTATTTTACTACATTTATTTATTCGTGAAAAAAGGAACGTTTGGTACCCGAGAATCCAAAAGGGGAAGTGCATTTCCCTTTCCTACGCCATGATTATTGCAAATTTTTTGGGCCTGTAACGCCTGTTGTTCAAATACTGTTGTTCAAATATCCGATAACAGATTTTTTTTTTTCTTTTAATTAATTGAAAAAAAATGTGTCCAAAATTCATTTAGTTGATAATTTTTTATTAACAAATTTCAAAATATGTACAATTTGGCCCATTTGATTTGTTTGCCCTTTTAACAACAACAAAATAAACAAGAAATATAAATGTTACCAAATGACTCCTGAAATGAAAAAGAAAAAAAAAAAAAAAAAAAAATCCCAAATGAACAGAACAGTCTTTTATTATTATTATTATTATTATTATTATTATTATTGTTTCACTGATTGAAATCGTTTTTCCTGACTCTTTTGGTTAGATGAAAATAAGTAAGAAAATAAATAGAATGTGAAAGAAAATGGGGTGAATGAAAAGAAAAGTGATCTTCCAAGTTTGGTTAATATGAAAATTTATTCAATAAAATTGTAGAAAAATATTAGTTTGTTAGTTTGGATAGTATGAAAGTGAAAAGAAAGTGATTATGCATACCAAAACTGCGATGGATTATTAAATTCAAATGTATAATTGTTTATATTAATTTCTATTATTTATATTTAGAATAAGGTTTCATAATATTTTTTTTTAAATAAAACTAATTATTAGTTTAACATAAACGAATTAAAAATAAATAAAAAATTAGAGATGAAGAGATAATACTATTGTTTGGGAAAAAAAATCAAATATTTCACCATATAAAAAATAAATATGTATATATATCCATACGGAATTATGGGTGGCTATAATTACAACATAGAACAGACAATTAAAAAAAATAAAAAATTATATTTAGAATCAAGATTTATTTTGAATAATTTTACCCAAATTATCATTGATATTCTGTATATATATAACTATATAATTTTCATTGTGAACTTACTTCAAATAGAAGTTGTTTTTGGAAAGAACTTACATCATAATAGAAGTTGTTTTGAGAAAAAATTTCACAATTAAGTTACTAGGTAAAAAAGGACTACAAATAAATAGGTGTTTCTTTCATATGAAAATACTCAATGTAGAAAACTAAATTTTCCATTATGTTTCTCTTTCTATCTATTCAAATTCTAAAAATTTTTAAAATTTTCTCTTTCCTTTCTTTTATAGTTGTTTCCACCTAACCAAACAAAGCCTAAATAAAACAAAAACAAAAACAAAAAACTTGAGGGTGCATTTAGTAATGTTTTCGTTTTCTGTTTTTGCAGTCACAAATAAACAGAAACATAATTTTGTTTTTTGAAATAAAAACATAAAGCAAAAATAACGTTTAGTAACCTTTGCTGTTGCCACAATTTTAATAATAAAAAACAAAAAGCAGTATTTAGTAAAACATTTGTTACAAAAATTTTTTTTTTTTTGGAAATTTTTTTAATTTATTTTTTCATCCATCTATCAAAATCTAACTTTCAATCACAATAAAAAGATATAATCTAAAAAGAAAAAAAAAATATATATATATATATATATATATATACAGGGCAAGATAAGCGTACAATTGTATAATGTATATATATATAATACAAAAATAGATTTTATATATACATATATATTAACAAAAAATCTGAAAACAAACTACAACCAATACATGTATAACAATTAGAAAAAGGGCAAAAAAAAAAAATAAATAAATAAATACAAGGCATACAGTTGTATAATGTATATATATAAAATATAAAAATAGATTTTATATAATGTATATATATATAATATAAAAGTACTGATGGAGTAATGTCAATGGTTGTGTATTAATGGAAGAGTAATGTCAGTTGTTGCGTAAAAAACGAGAGAAACCGTGGCGAAAATGTTTCCTCTGTTACAGTGAAAAAACACAGGAAACATCATTTTGATGTTTTCTCTTTCTTTCATAAAAATGAGAAATGTTTTTCATTAAGAGGAAATAAAAACAAATTACTAAACATAATTTTTGTGTTTGTTTCTCTTTTTTAAAGATTGACAACAGAAAACAAAAAATGTTATGAGTTATTAAACACACCCTGAAATGCACATGTACAAATTTGTTATACATAGTGTTTACATCGAACTTGCTATCTAAAAATACAATAAAGTTGTGTTCAACTGCTTTGAATTGTAGTCTTGAAATTGAAATTTGTGAAATTTAAAAAAAAAAAAATTGGTTCAATTTTTTTAATTCCTTTTCTCAAATTTCACCAATTTCAATTTTAAAACTCCAATTACATGCAATTGAAGATACATTAAAATAATAATAATAATAAAGTATTCATAAAAATATATATGGTATAGATACTCGTAACAATTCCTCTCTATAATATGTAATCTTTGTTATAGTCTTATAGACCATCGCTTTATTGGGATAAGTGATAATCACCTTCCACGTGAGAAAGACAAATAATACTGTACTTACAGAATAAAAGGAATATTTATTTATTTATTATGTACATAGAAATTTACTATCTGTTTTTTTAATGGAAAATAAGAGTAAAAATAGTAATCATAAACTTTATTATTTTTGAGAATGAAGAAGATCTTCCATTATTCTTTTAATTTCTTTATCCTTTTATCCCTTAACAAAAAGAGAAATACAATGTAAGAAATAGTGCGACCACCTTCGTATCTTAGCGGTTGGATTATTCTTTGTTGTCCTAAGGAGCTCGACTTTGAACATTCACAACCACTTACTTTTAATCTGATATTTTTACCATGAAATATATATATATATATATATATATATATATATATATATATTCATGATATATTTAAGTCATGATACACTAACCGAAGTTATATTGCCGAATGAAAGAATTAGTACGAGGGCATTGTTTTCCTTAATATTAATATTTATATACCAGTAATTTTCTTTATATTTGTTTTATAACTAATGTCATGCAAATTTTTTTGATTGTTGATAATGTCTTTTCATTATTTTATAGGAACAAGATGCAATATATTCGACTGACTATATACATGAGATGGTCCATAGTGGAGTTCAGGACATATTCATTCAAAGTAAGCAACAAGTGACAAATACAAGTTTACAATTATTAATATTACCTCCAAACAAATATTTTCTTTTAATCAACAAGACTACAAGAGAACCAAGTCTCTTTCATGTTAAAATTTAAATAAATAAATCATGATTCAATTACCGATGACAATTAATGGCAAGAGCACTCTCATAATATCATTGTTCAACTAATTACATACTTTATGGTCTATTAATACATAAAAACTTTCCACGAGACTATTTCAAACTAATCCATTGTTAAGGAAAAAAGAAAAAACACAAATATATATATACACACACACACACACACACACATAGGATGTATAAGCGAACTTATCAGATGTGTTATTAATTATTATTATTTTTTTTATCCTATTATAAAATTTTCGCTCTTTCATGCTTTTGAAGAGCCCCCAAACTTTTACATTTCACTTTAAATAGAGAGAGTAGTGTCAATAAAAATAAAAAATAAAAAAAATAATAGAGAGAATATATTACCATGTGGCTTGATTATCGGATGCATTTAACTATTTGACATTCCCATAAATTCCAACATTTAAGTCATGATAATTGAGATTTGAGATCACATAGTTTGCAAGTCCTAGTCAAATCAGGCAACTCGTAACTATTTTAGAATGTTTTTAGTGACATGGTTTCAGTAGAGTTGCATTTTTAGATATTCTTGAATTAAATAATTGTAACATTTTTTTCTTGACATTCTTACCAATAATAATTGTAATGGGGTTTGAATTAAATTAATTTGTCTAGATAATTCTAGACGTCCTCTCTTTAATATTTTTTTTATATTATACATTATTGTCTTTGATTTATTTTGTCGAATGAAATTAATTGATTCATTTATTTATATAATTATAGGAAACGCTTAATGTAATATTCAAAAATTTATGGGATAATTCCATAAAAATGGTGTTTTGGAGATCAAAGGACAAATAGATGGAGTCAAATTCTAGTTTTCCAAATTAATGGAGTTTTCTCAAATGTTGACTTGTACATGGAATTTTACTGTAGATCATTTTTTTGCATTCTCAAACTGCCCATCATATATTATTGTGAATTGACCCAACTACCCCTTTAAGCTAACCGAGAACCAAAAGCATGCAACAACAGCCCTCAAGTCTTTCTCTTCACGACCTCTATGCTCACAGCCGCTAATAGAGAATTTCAAAAAGTTGTTGATGACATCTATGAAAGATACCCTCAATTGGAGCTCTATTTGTTGAAGGATTCCAAAGGAGAGCAAAAGAATCCATTGAGTTTTTTTTTTCGGTAAATAAGTAATTCATTAAAAAAGAAAGAAATTACAAGAAGGTCCTTCAGCCCATACAAAACTGGGCATGGAAACAAGAAATAAAAAGTCCACTATAGTGGCCAAAGAAACCTACAAGGAAGTCTTTAACCGAGCTAGGCCCAAAAGCCCAAATACAACATTCTGCATCCATAGCATTAACTACCTTCAACCACATCCTCGGGTGGGATGACTCAACAAACCATGAAGAATCCACACTACTGGTTATGGTCGGGGAAGGTGTTGAGAAGTTGGGATCAGTGGAAATGGTGGTGGTGGTGGTAGAGGTGGAGGATTTTGGGTGAGTTGAGTAGTTACGAAATGGAAGAAGGGATTTGACTGGTCAGGCTCATAAAAAGAAGCTGGGAGATTCCAATCTGCTGCAATTTCTCTCGCAAAGGGGCATTTAACTTTCTTGACAGTTAATAGCTTTAGCCTGATTGCGTTGATCACTGAGTTCATTGTTTGGCCTGGAGGTAATGAGGTATTTCTAAACATT